AAAAGTAAGGACCTGAGCATTGAGTCCAAAGATAATTCTTGATGCCAGACCATCTTTCACATCAAGAATCCCACTTGGTACTTTATCACCAGAAACAGAGAGTGGTAGAGCTTCATTATCAAGGAAAGAATACATATAACTTGGTCCAAGAGAGTAGATACTCTGTACTTGTTCAGCAGAAATGGCATCGTTAAATAAATAAATTGGGCCAATTTGGCCAAAAAATGGGCTTGAATCTCCTATGGATTCAAATGCGAGCACATTGTCTTCATAGTGAGGCATCTTGAGTTTAGCACCAATCATGCAACTTGTTAATGATTCACTGACTTTTGCATACCTGAATAAACAAAGCATACAAACCAAATCAGAGTGTCACACGAAGCAATTTAGCAATTATTCACGAAAATAGAACAAACAATAATTAGCATGGTTTGAACCTGCATCTTTCAGATGAGACAAGATCACCATCCAAGTAACATCTCAACAAGCTACCTGCGGAAAAGGCCCGTCCTATGCTGTGAGTTATGCAAAGAAAATGCCATCTCTTCCTGACTAAATTAACACGCAGATCCACACGCTGTTTCTTCATATTAATTGACTGCAAGGGACAGTCAAATTAAGCCAGCAAAGAAAAATCAATTCATTTAAAAGTAAGGTCAACTAAAACAACAAAAAAGTGATAACGAACAACACACAACTTGAACAAAAGAACTAATTTTTATCTGTATTTCTAACCTCATAAGTGAGCCTCTCCTTTGCAAGCACAGCCAAGGACCCTCTCCCATTTTCCGTAAGAAAACTGAAAAGACCCATTGCTCCATTTCTAGGGAAATTCTCAATCCTAAGCCAACAGCAAAAAGAAAAACCCTTATAGAGAGGCCACTGCAGTGGAGTTTTCAAAATGATACCCTGCAAGAATTTGAAAGGAATGACATAATGATGGCATAAAGGAATGAAGCAGTAAGTGTTACATTTGGCAATGAGAAAATTTGTTCTACAAGAATTATAAGCAGGGAATGAAAAAAATTTACTTTTATATGCGTCATACAGCATCCATTAACTAACAAAGAATGAATCCCAAACACCGTAGTGTACTTTTAATTTAACCTAAAGCTCATTAACAAGTAAGAACCTTCCAATAATAGTCGAGTGTTTGTCTAAATGTTCAGACACAGTCCATAATCATGTCAAAATGGTTTAATCCAACATAAGTCAAGATTGGTAATACGTCTGTCCAGCGCTCATAATGATCTGGCACAGAGAGTTGGCCCATGAGGGCATTTGTCATATCTTCTATTGAAGATAACAGAATCACCATAACAGCAGGTCACCACTATTCACCCTGCTTATTGTTTTCATTGGTTCAGCTTAAGGGGCTTCTAAGAAGTGAGCATTGTTAGATTTGATGGATTACTTTGTTCCTTCATTAATCACTGTTAGAAACAGTGTAATTTTAGGAAAATCTAGTGCTTATTTTGTATTTGAACAGGTCTGTAAAAGCAGGTCATATCCCGTGATTAAAGGGATCCTTTATTAGAATATGCTATTATTTTATTTTGTAAATTAGCTTACAAAGCTGTGTATAAATACTTGAATTATCTTCAATACAAGATATATGAAATGAGCTATTCTCTCCTAAAATACAAGAAATAACTCCAATAAGTTCTTCAGTTACCAGATTGAAAATCCTTCTTGCCAGAATTTAGTCCTAGTTGAGCACAAAGCTCTCACCAAAGTTAAAATCTAATTAATCTGAATAAAACTTAATCATATAAAATAATAACCTGGGTAGATCACACAAATTGTATACTCACAATTGTTTGAGGTGACTCATTGCAGAGATATGTAGCAACCATTTTAAAACCGACTTGCTCTTTTGAACCTACTGCTACCTTAGTAGAATTCTTGCACTTTCCATTTCAATGTTTCATACTTTAAGGAAAACAAATATGTATTCTGCTGAGGCATGCAGATATTTTGCAGTTGGAGTATGGGTAGGAAATAACACCACCAGCTTCTAAAATCTCTGTGTGTGACTAGTTTTTGGGCTTCATTATGAATAATACTCATTTTTAGTTGGGAAGAGGGGAGATTCCCTTATCAACTTGGCAAGGGAATCAGATAACACCTCTAAACTAAAGGTTTCCTCGCATATCGTTCTCACTAACAGTCTTCCTGTAAACTGTTCTTGGAGGGTAATATATCCTCACTTTTCTATCTCTCTTCTAAAAACTGTATTAATAAAAAGATGCTTATCATTCAAATATGGCTCTTCTTTTCATCCATTGATGTCAGCTGGTGCACCATAGAATTATGACCATATACTAAATATTGTATATCTATAATGGAAGCAAAAATAATGTTGGTGCAACTTAAGACAGAAAATGTGAAATATAGCTTAAGAGATCCATGAACCTCTTAGCTTAAAAGGTGCACCTGAATTACAAAGAGTACAAAGGGAAAAAGCTATACACCTAGTTGCTAGAAATTAATAAGTAAAACAGCTTTTAAGTCAGATAAGTAAACATATCACAACAAGTTATCTCACTAATACAATAATTATTCTAAAACTAGCCCTAAAACTGGAACATGGAGATTGCATATACAACTAGGAACATATAAACTAAATTCGAGGTCCTCTCATGAATTTTGTTAAGATATTATCATTGGAATTGACAAATGTTGTGCAAATTTCCTTGTTCAACAATTTCTCTCCAAAAAAATGGCAATCAATCCCTATGTTTCTCTCATGAAACACATGATCAGATACAAGTGAGAGATGTCATTGCTTAATCCATATTAGTTCATAAGTGAAAGATGTCATTGCTCTATAATATGCTTTAGCACTAGCAACCACATTCTCTTTCTTCCTTTTCCAAGAGATAATAATACATCCGATGAAAACACAATACCCAATAATGGAACACCTGTCTATAGGAGATCCTACCCAATTAACATCATACTACCTAAACACATGAGTATGTCCCATATCTTCATATAGCAATCCATGTCCTTGAACTTTTTGTGGCATATGAAAAAGCAAATAACTGCATTTCAATGATTTTGCATAAATTGACTAACCACTCCAACATCAAAAGACATGTTAAGTCTAGTAATAATGATATAAATGAGTTTTCCCACAAGTCTTTTATATTCTTTTGGGTCTAGGACATGTGTACTCTATTCTACCATCAATTTCTTATTTGGATCTATTAGAAATGGAAAGGTGTCTAAATCAGTCCTACAAAATCAAATTATAAGGTGAGGTTTACACCTCAATTATATATTATAAGTTCGTCCTATCTCTAATCGATCTCCAACAGGTTCCATTGGACTATCTACTAGTCTACAATCACTCATGCCCATTTCTCCCATAATGTCTAAGGCATATTTCTTGAGAGATAACAATACCTTTCTTTGACTAAGCCACTTCAATGCATAGAAAATATTGGAAACATCCAAAACCTTTAGTTTGAAAGTGGCTTTATAAATGCTTCTTTACTTAACAAATTTTATCAAAATCATTGTGTAATGATTATGTCATCTACATATATAATTAAATAAACACATCTTCAAAAAGAGGTGCAATATTGAAAGAAGAACTATCTACTTCATTACATTTTAACCCAAAGATTTGACCAATGTGACTAAATTTTCCAAACCAAGCACATGGAGATTTCTTAAGACCATAAAGACACATGTAATTTACAAACCAAATTAGACTCCCCTGAGCAACAAAGCCAAAAGATTGTTCCATTCAAATTTCATCCTCTAGATCACCATAAAGAACAACAACTTTTATATCGAATTGATGAAGAACCCAATGATGAATAGTTGTCATGGTAAAGAAAAGGACAATAGTGATTTTGGTCATAGGGGAAAAGGTATCACCATAATCAAGACCATTTATTTAACTTTGAGGTGATCAACTTCACCGATTGACCCAACCATAATTACTTAGACCCAACGACGACCAAAAATCTTCTTTCTAGGTGGAAAAGAAACTAATTCCCATGTACCATTATGTTCAAGAGCATGCATTTCAACAATTTTGTCTTGTCGTCATCCAGGATGATCAAGTGCTTCTTCTTTCACAATTTTTGGAATGGTAATACATGATACATAGGATATAAAAGAAACATAAGGTGACAAGTATTGATAACTTACAAAATTGTAAGTAGGATAAGGATTGCAGGTAGTACGAGTATCTTTTCAAATAACAATGGGCCAATTGAAATCTTCATTAGCGAAGGCGTGCTATGGCGCAAAGATGGTGAAGGGCTTGATGAATAACACTCAACATGTGGCATGGTGATAAAGGGGATGATGTAAGTGCAGTAGAATTTGCAGGAGGGGAATTCAAAACAGGGTGGCTAGAACAATGTTAGGGACAAGAGACATAAAGGGCTCCAATGGCATGGACAAGACTTGATTAACAGAGGAAACATCTTGTGTAAAAGGTGGGGAGAAAAAAGTATCCTCAAAAAAAGGTGACACTAACAGACATATAATATTTTCTAATTTTAGTAGAATAACATTGATACCCTTTTGGAACACAAGAATATCCTAGGAAAACACTTGATGGCCCGAGCCAAGAGTTTGTCCAAATTTGGAGATACATAATGGACAAAACATATACAACAAAAAACACAAGGAGAAATGCATGATTATCAAACTCACGAGTCAACTCGTTAACTCAGACAAGTTTGCTAGTTGAGTGATTGGTCACAAGTTAACTCATGAATAGACTCAGTTTTTAACAAACTCGTGCAATCATAGAGTAAACTCAATCAAACTCGAGCTGACTCACAAGTTTATTAATGAGTCACGAGTCAACTTGAGTAAATTCTCTTTTTCTCCACCATCCCTCTCCTCTTCCATTAAAATTCATCACGTCGAACATAGCCTTGTCTAACTCATCTCTATGTCAGGCATTCTACTCTTCTTTCTCCAAAGTGATGGGTCTCTCCTCCATGCAACACGTCTCTCTCCCTTAAGAGATGCATCTCTCTCCTTCGCATGACGCTTCTCTCTCCTCTACTCGACATGATGTGGTCATCTTCTCTGTGAAATACGACTCATTTTAGATATGTTCATTAATGTTATTCACGTTCATTCTTTATTACTATTTTCTTTCTTTTTTTAGTTTTTTTATAGGTTTTAAATTTAAATTTTTTATTTTGTTTAGTTTTTTCCCATTAATGAATTAGGTGTTTTAATTTTTTGTTTTTGTTTGTTTTTGTGAATTAGTAATTAAAATGATGAAATGTAAATGATTAAGACTGATTTTTTTATGTCAATATACTTGCATTGTTGAAGTAAAAATGAAAAAAAGTAAAGTAAATTTTTAGTAATTATAGGAACTAAAAATTTTGAATAATAAAAAAATTAAATATAATTATTATTAAAAGATGTTTAGTAGATGAATTTTCATAAAATATATTTATTTTTCATATGAAATATGCTCTTACTTGTCTACGAGTTGAGTTTATAGAGCTCTCACGAATATATGTACACCCTCAAGTTTGATAACCTTTGAGAAATGTGGAATAAATGTCCATTTGGCTGATAAGATAACATGTTTAAGAATATCCCCTATGATGGATAGGTACATAGGCACCAAGCAATAAGGTACAAGAAGTTTCGACTATATGTCTTATTTTTTTTTCGCTAAACCTATTGAACTGATGGAGAATGTCGTGAACATAAAAAGAGTAGAAAAGCCCAAAGAAAAATATTCATTAGCATTATCACTCCTAAAAATCTTAATTACTTGGCCAAACTAGCTTTTTATTTCACTAGGGAAAATTAAAAAATATACAAAAGTTTAGATTAATCTTTCATTGAATAAACCCAAGTTCAACAAGAATACTCATCAATAAATGTGAAAAAATACTAAAATCCAAAAGATGTGACAAAACTAGGACCCCAAATGTCATAATGAATTGTTGAAAAAACAAAATTACATCTAGTTTCAATTCTTTTTGGAAAAAAGATCTAATATGTTTTCCTAGTTAGCATGATTCACAATCTAAGACTTCAAGTTTGTTAACTCAGGAACCATCTTTTTTAATTTTGACAAATGTGAATGACCCGATCATGCAAAAGTTTAGGACAAAGGGAAGTAAGACAAGACATTGACGTTTAGTACCAAGATAGTAGAGTCCTCTAAATTCATGTCCTTCTTCAATCAATCCACCCATAACATGCTCATAAAAGAATTGACATATAAAATTATAGAACAATTTAAAGATTTAGTTAATGGACTTAGAGAAAGAATGTTAAAAGGGCACATAAGGATAATGAGAACAAATTTCAAATTTAAGGCTGGAGAGAGAGAGACAGAGAGATTTGACCAACTCCCGGATAGGCAATTTTGGACCGATTAGCTAAAATAACAAAATGAGAGACCCTAGCAAAAGAAATATTATAGAACAATTTAAAGATTTAGTTAATGGACTTAGAGAAAGAATGTTAAAAGGGCACATAAGGATAATGAGAACAAATTTCAAATTTAAGGCTGGAGAGAGAGAGAGACAGAGAGATTTGACCAACTCCCGGATAGGCAACTTTGGACCGATTAGCTAAAATAACAAAATGAGAGACCCTAGCAAAAGAAATATTAGAAAACAAGGAGGCATTACCATAAATATGATATGAAGCGCCTGAATCAATTATCCATAAATTGACTTTGCAAGGTTTGAGAAATCGAAGCTTTTGATAAACTAGCCTGAGTGGAAGATTGTGCTTGGTTACTAGACATTAACCTAAGGTACTCTTGATATTCTCACTAAGAAACTTTGATTTAACCTTATCAGATGTGAAGATGTTTGTTGTCATGTTAGGGAATCCATGTGAAGTGAAGAAATTCTCTTAAGCATCTCATTCTCTTACAATAAGAACATCAAGGATGGCGACAACCACTACATCATTCAAAAAGATGGTTTTTTTAATTCGTTTCTTGCAAGAGATGGCAATAAATCTTGAGAAGGAGTTGCAAGGCCAAGAAGAAATAGAGGTTGGAGTGACCAGAAAATATGTAGATACTTGTCCAGCAATTTTAAATCGGAGGGTGGGCGGCAGCTATGGAGAAAGCAACAGTGTTCTGGTTGTGGCCAAAAGGCCCCTATGAGCAGCAAGCGAGGAGGCTGCGTATGGAGGTCCATGGGGACAAATCAGGCCCGGCAATAAGGCAGGTTGGCTGTTGTGCGATGAATCGATCCAGATCCAGTACTCGCTAGAAGGAATGACAGAGGCAGACGGCAACAAACAATGGCGGACAACAATGAATAACCGTGGATTCACTGTATTTTATGAGACAAATCAGACCAGACCTTTCATTTGAGGAAAGGAATACAACAACCATGATAAACGACAGCAGACAGCTATCGACAACCGCAAACCAACTGGACAGAAACAGAGTGGGATCTACCCACTCTAATACCAACTTAAGACAGAAAATGTGAAAAATAGCTTAAGAGATCCACGAATCTCTTATCTAATTCATATAATTATGGCAACGATGCACCTGAATTACAAAGAGTAAAAATGAAAAAGGCTACACCTAGATGCTAGAAGCTAAAAAGTAAAACAACTTTTAAGTCAGATAACTTGACCTATCTGAACAAGTTATCTCACTAGCACAATAATTATTCTAACAGTGCCAAATCTTTAAAAATAACAAAATAAGAAACAGAAGTTCTAGAGCATCTATAATGGCTACAGGACTTACAGAATCAATTCCATCAAGATCAAAAAAGGCAGTTGGCCCCTTCTCATGTAGCATTGCCAAGAGACTTGTTAACAAAACAGAGCAGTATTGCCTCCTCATCCCAACTTTCTCACTTCTGAGTAAAGCAAATATTTTTCGGATGTCCTTTCCTGATATGCTATGCCCACCAATGGCTTGAATTAACTGTGCAATCTGAAAGATCACACCGTCATTATCTTCTTGAGAAAACCAATTAAGAAGAAAATCAAGCATTCCTGCCCTGACACAAGAAGCTCTATTAGAAATGGAATCTCTTAGCAGTTGCTGAAACATGTCTAGCCCACGATGCTGCAATGACTCACTGCTCTGCCCAATCACAAGATAACAAGCAATAAAACAGATGGCATTATTTTCTTAAAACAAATTTTAACAACTACTGAAATAATCGTTAAAGAAAATAATTTATTACAAAAAACCAAGGGGAAAGGAATTGCAAACCTTTTGCAGTACAATCAGATACAGTATTATTACATCTTCATTCTGAAATCAACAAAGGGAAGCAGAAAAATAAGAAAACATGAAAACAAGATTTTTTAAAAGAAGATTTCACAGTACTAAGTAAGCTATAGCATCTGGGTTCACCAAATACCACTTTCATTAGTTTCTTGGAATAGAAAATGAAACAGTGTAAGTAGATTAAATAATTTATGGAAGCTAGACCTATGTATTAGCAGTCACCTTTATCATAGAACTCATTTTAACATCAAATTTTCCATCAACAAGCATATCAAGCAAAGCATCTAAAAGGCTTTCACTTGAATGAAACTGGCAAAAATCCAACAGCAGACTCTGCAGAGTCTGGTAGCCCTTTCCAGCTAGAGCTCTAAATGCCACCTGCAAGAGATAATAATACAAAATGTTTTTATTGGAATCTATTGGTACAATGCAAGCAGCGACAGTAAGAAGAACCTGTAAAAATCCAATCTAGTTGGAAAGTAAGGATGACACTTCAAAGGCAATCAGTCTATAGTCAATTTTGTTTAGCCAAAATACAGAAAATAAAAATATTTAGGGCATTGCAAGAACCTAGTGTATATTTTTTTACTTGAATAAACATCAACCTATTTCCCCTGGCTGACACAATTTGCCATGAGATATGGTAGGAACAATAATCAGGGAATCTCTTCACTCTATTAGAATTCACATAAAGAACAAAGAAATAAGAGAGTGAGAAATATGAAGAATGAAAATAACATTGTTTGGACACCAATAAAGAGAAAAAAGGAGATATTTATTTCAATTTGTTTGGATGAAGGGAAGAGTGATTAGAAATGAAATAAATAAATAAATAGCATTAAAAAGCTTTCCATGCTAATTAAAAAATTAAGTTTATAAATGGAAACCATAACGAAAAAATTCTTTCTTCCTATTGCTCCTATTAAACGAACATTGCAAATTTGGTAATTCCATCCTATCTAGATCCTCTTCATCTCTAATACACAATTACACCCAAATAAACACAGTTTCAAGTCTACAGTACAGGCAATCAGCCTAGTAACCTATACAAGAAGATGCAGTTACATCTCAATTAAGGTGAGATGCAAGGTACTAAAACACATTGGTATACAAACATATCAATCCAGCAGAACAAAGCAATTAATATACTACTTCTTCCAAAGATGCATTGCATGTAGCTATAGCAAGTTTCTAGGTCACTGTAAAAAAAACAAACTTTAAAGCCCATTGATTGAAGAGGTGTTTCATCAAGGATAATTGTATGCAAGTTAGGAATGAAAAACATCTATCCTCCAGCTTGAGAGTACTGGAAATAGAATGTTAGGAGATAAGAGCTACATCTGTTTGAAATTCCATAACATCTAGACATATGGCTATTTAAAGCATCAAAGTTTATCTTAATGAGATTTGATACCATCCAGAAATATATATCTAGTATCATACTCGAGATGTTCAGTCCTCAAAGTGAGAAGGGAGTTAGAAATTTCACATTGTCTAGAAATATTGCTAAAATAGAGTATATAAGTGTATGCACACCTCATCTTCTAGACCAGTTTTATAAGGTTGAGATAAGTACAAAATTCTTAAGATCATTGATTATTTTTCCAAGTAACCTAGATACTTGGCATAGCTCAGTTCAATGCATCTTAGGAAGTAATTGAATCTTAATTGTTCTCTTGTAATGTGTTTTGACATTATACATCTTTCTAATACCCTTAAATATAAATAAGTCCATTCTGTAGGGTGCAAAAAACAATAAAGCACATCCAGAAAAGACCATTCTCACAACAGCCTAAATATACTTAAACTTAACACTTGTGGTTTAACATCTATTTTAACCTTATTTTAATGTTTATGGCTAAAATTGTAGTGTGTCTATCTTGCTCTTGATCAAGTGAAAGCTCTTTGATTAACAAAAGGAAGGTTTTGGAGTTCAAGCTTCCATATCTTTTGTTCTGACAAGTTTTTTTATGAAGAATCAATTGATTAAAAAGAGAAAAAGAACAAGAGTTTATCCGTTTAAGAAATGCAATAAACATATTTATATGCCTTTTTAGCTTTGGGAAAATTGGTTACAACATAGTTCCATAGCCCCTTTGACAAAATACTTAGGAATCTGATCCTTGCCTACCTTATATTCTTCAAAGAAACTGACTATTGCTCTTCCGTAAGATGTGAACTAATGTTATTCATGTTGTTACACCAACTTATGTTTTTGCACAATTGATTTGCAACAATCCAAAAACAGCTAAAGGGCAAAAAAATATATAACTTACAGTAAGATATATAATTCATAATGTTCTTAATCAAAACAAAACAATTAAAAAAATAAATAAAGTAACAGCAAAAAAGGGCAAAAGACAAAGACAAGTACCTTCGAGGTATCATTACTTGCAAGCAGACAAGTAAGTGTTTGGAGTACATTCAGAACCAATTTCTCCCCGTTTGCCCCTTCAAGGTTGCTGTTCAGTAATGATACAACATGCAAAAAGCATTCCCCATCCCGAAATAGAGTCTGATAGTACTGATGCGATAAAGCATGAAAACCCTTCAGTTAAATTGTCAAATGCATTGTAAGACACTTAAACAAATAAAATAGAGAAATAAATCAATGTCGGACACATACTGCTTGATTCGCCTGGAGCATATGTCTCATTTCTACCAACAAATCAATAGATAGATCAACAAAACTTTTCTCCCGTTCTTTTAATTGGGTAAACATTTCTAAATACTTAGAGCACAACTGCAACTCTGCTTTTTTATCTTCTTCAGAAAATGGCATAATCTGATAAAAGAAATAGCCATCTTAAAAATGGTAACATAATATTCACACAATAATTATGACCAAAAAAAGGCAAATTCAAGTCAGTACCACATAAATTATACCTTCATGAGATCGAGTATATGTCTAAGCACATCATCTCTCAAACCTTCCACCCAAAATAAGTCAAACAGACAATCAATGCATGTAAAACTATGCAATATCAACCGAGAATCTTTAGCAGCTGCTTGAAACAAGGCAAAGAACTCTATGCACACTTTCATGCAATTATAGCAACTTTGAATAGTCTCAGGTAAATTGCTTGTATGTTGATCTTGCAATGATACCAGTGCTTCCACGCCACTTTTCTCATTGGAGGGCTCCATGCTTCCTGGTCTTCTATACTCTTGTGCTTGAACACAGGCAACTTGTAAAACACGAGAAACTGCACTCAACGTCTTACACGAAGCAATTGTTTTCTCAGGGGAAAGCTCCAAGATGCGAACCAAACTCCTCACTAGAACACATGCAATTTCAGGATTACAAGCAGAATGCTCAAGCGCATCCAGCAAAGAAGACAATTCCTTCTGCAATAAAAACAAGGCATATATAGATGTGTTTATAGAGAAAAATATCCAACAAAATATAAATAAACATATCAATTCGTAAGATTAAGAGATACACAATTTTAATATGTGTTCCAATTCATTCAAGCAAATTCAAAAATAATTTCTGAGAACATATATATACACACACATGAGCAAGAAGAAGGGAATAAAAGAACCAACCATGTTCTGTGTGTTTCCATCACATGTTGCAGCAAATTCAACGAATGAAATTACTTCCATCTGTAGAGTATTAACCCCATTAACTTCTGTTCTATTAACAGAGCTCCTTGAACCAGACAATATTTCAGACTTCTCATTGTATGCAAATATCTTTCCAGCAGATTCATCTGAACCTGATTCGAAGTAAAAGAAATTTTCTGAAAATATAAGATCCCATATTCCCTCTTCATGAAAAATTTCAATTGACATGGGAGAAGATGAAAGAAGGTTTCTAAATGCATTAAGAACTGTGTTCTGTAGAGCTGAAACAAAGATCCTGCAATATGGAAAGTAAAACAACATATCAAAAATTAGTTCAACACATGAAGGTCCTACTGGAGAGCTACATGAATCGCAATAATTTTTTCATGGTTTACTAGATTTTCCAGTTTATCACAACGAAAAACGATGCAAGTCACTGGTAAAGTTCACCTTAAATAGCTAGGCAAATCATCCTGACTTGAGCAAGTTTTAATGCAAGGAAATATTGTAAAAAGGACCCTCATAACCCATTTGATTGACAGTTCGTAATATGCAGAGGAAACAGGCAATGCAAGTCCACCAGAGGATGCTTGGACATTAAGAGATTTTGAACCCTCAGGAACTAATAAAAATGAACAGAGACCTCTGCTCAATATAACAACATAATGATTCCAAAATTCAGAAAAAGAAGCACGAGATGGAAGGCCTGAAGAAAGCACCACTGCATCAGGTTTCACATAATTAACATTTTCTTGAATGTCAAGTCCAGGCAAACCAACAGCCTGTTGTCCAATAAAAGCCTTCTCCTTTCCCCAATCTTGAAGCAGAAAAGCCGGTGAACAAAAACTATTTGCAAATTTATGCACCCTACCATTTTCACAAAGAAATTGCAAGCTGATCATATTGCCAAAGCTGTACCAATGTCAAGGTCTTGAGCATCAATAACTTTTTCTTTAAATTTTATTTATAGATTCAAGCAGCAACAGTTAAAAAAAAAAGACTCGAGAAATGCACAAAGGACAGGATTGTTCTATTTCCATAATAATAAAATTCATATAGGAAAACCTAAGAATGACAGGCAAATACTCCTCTAGTGAATACACACATGAAATGTTTCAGAATGTCAATAGGCAATGATGTTGGCAAAATTTTGTTTTGCTTTTATGTTGTTATTTTCTAATAATTAGCAAATAACTTCACATCGCAGTGATATGTTCAATAAATGAAAAATGGAATATTCTAAAATTCCCAACATTAGCAAATTGTGAAGGATACACGGCCTCCCTTAAAACTTCCAGAGAAAGAATATGAAGTTGAAAGATTTTTTTCAATGATTTATTGTCCCTGCAAAAAACAAGCAGACCAATTTATCAAAGAATGCAACACAAACAGTATAGATAATATAGTATTCTGTGAGAGAGAAGAAATAGGAGAAATACCAAATACATTATCTTGCATGGTTATGTTAAGGTTCCTACATAAAACCAGTGGAATAACCTAACAGGTATTTAAACCATACCACATAACGTGAGGTGTGAGACATCCAACATGTCCCCTCCAATGAAGACTGCCGGACCAGGCAAAGGGTAAACCCATAATGACAGCACAACTTTTGGCCTAAGACAATAACCGGAAAGGGTACTTTTGACTCATAATGAAAAGGTAACTTTTGGCCCAAGACAGTAACTGGAAAGAAGTTAGGTTTTGACTCTAATATCACATTAAGATTCCAACATAAAACCAATTGGCTATATATAGAGTAGCCTAACAAGTATTTAAACCATACCACATGACATGAGACAGGCAATGTGGGACATCCAACAAGTTCATACAAAAACTAGTAGAGGAGATAACAAGAACATGAAAAGGCCAAATATTTGTACAACATACAGCAGACTCAGGTTAAGATGAATGAGTTTTGTAGATTCACCACACCAAGCTAGTCATGAAATCATTATGGACAAACTCAAACATCAAGACATGCATTGATCACTCAAAAAAGAAAATGCAGATACGCCAAGCTTAAAAGAAACAACACCATATTTTCCACTAAATCAAAGAAAGAATAATTGCCTTGAGATATACCCAACATACCTGAATCCATCAGCCAATACAAGATTACTGTAAGTTTTTCCATAATTTGATGGAAATCCAAGACCATCCAGTAGCACTTCCAACCCCCCAATACTTCTGAAATGATTCTGACCCCGAAGATTTGCAGATAAGGACAGAGAAAGGATTTTCAAGCACAAATAGTGAAGTAAATCATCCATCAACAGTTCTTTCAGGCTAAATCTTCTAATGACACGTAAGAGCTCTGTGAAAAAATTAAGTTTGGTGAATAGAAAATGTATGATAATTTAATAAAATATAAAATAAGTCTAAATATCTATGAAGCATGAACTTTGAACATCCCTTGAAATTCAATAAACATAGAATGGCCAAAGAAAGGAGTGGTAATTGAGCTATTTAACTGTAGGATAGTTGTGATGCAAAATTAAGGCTCAGGAGAATGTGAAACCCAACCTTTCATCTTTACGTGACCAAGATAATTTTTTATTAAGTTTTCATGTAGAAGAATTCTTTTTTTTTTTAATAGGTCAAGAATGCTATTGCATAACTATACAAGTTGCAAACCTAACAAGGTTAGCTCTACAACTTGCATCAATCATATGCAACATTTTTAGAAACATTATAAAAGAGAAGAAATAAAAATGTGGGACGATCAAACAAAACCCACTAAAACAAACGAAAGTGAGGAAAACCACACCTATCCCTACAAAAGTCAGATGTACACTATCCCTCCAAAAAAAAAACAATTAAAAAAGGATAAAAAATCCTACAACATATCTGCTAGTAAAAACCCATTAAAATGGCATGTGTTTTACACTAAATAGATGCCAAAAGCCAAAACTTAGTGATGTGCCAAACAACCCTCCTTAAAAATTCCTCAACATGACAGCAAATAATGATGAATTTGTCAAAAAGGCATCAAACACAAAAACAACCAATAGTCCCAAAATGCTAAATAATGGGATATACAAAGACCACAACAACAAAACCACTACTTTTAAAACCAAACCAGATGGTTCAACAGGTCCAAGCAAAAACCAGTCTCGTAACTGTTGCTTTCAAAAACTGAAATTCAATTAAATCGGTGCAAAGTTGGAAAAACTGATAAATCCGAAAAACCAATGGGTTTTTAAGTCCAAATGATTTAGTAATTTAAAAAAAAATCAAAACTTTTTAATTTCTTCTAAATAATTAATTTTTTTAAATGATATAATATTTTTTAATCTTTTTTCTTCCATTATCTCACATGAGTCATGTCAATTATAAATAATAGTTGTTTTATGATCTCTCTACTACTTATATTTGTAACCTTCACTTTGTAATATTTTCATTGTTCCTAATAAACTTATTATATACTTATTATATTATTAAAAAATATTATTCTATTAAATCCAATTGAAACTTTAAAGCCCAAATTCATGTCTTCACCGATTCAATTATCAGACCGGTTTTAAAAACATTGACCAAAACCATGAAGATTAGATTCTGAGCAAGCATATAGGGAAAACATAAAGTAAAGTAAAAGATGTAAAATAGAAGTGATAGTCATTATCATAATGACAAGCAGTATTAGTCGAAATCTGCAAAATTAAACATTCAACAAATATATAATTTCTCCAAGATATTTCAGAAAACATAACTTCACAAGCATTAATTGATTATTGTGAGGGCTAAGCATCCTAAAAAACAACCCTTACCTTGTGCTTATATTTATTTTTATGAATAGGCAAGATTAGGACCAAACTGCAATCCACTTGAGCTACTAGACTCTGTCAAAACATAGCTATTTTGGAGACAAAAGTCCATAAATGATTTTTTATTTATGTCCATACGTGGCCCCCAATACAAATATCCTTCAATAATGAAGGGTGGATATAAACCTAGACTGATCTCTACATTAAACTTTAGTTTAAGTACAAGATTGAAGACAGAGAAATTTATTTAGAAGAATGCCAATAAATGTTTTATCTTTTAATCATAACTAACTTCTCTTCATAATCAAGTAGGAAACACAGTAAGTCCAAGTCACTTCTTTATTTGTCAGCAAAAAAGGAAGATGCCACAGGAGCACTGGGGGCTTTGCACACTCTGACCATAATCTCCATCAGTGGGTTTAAGTACTATCACAGAATCAGTGAATCAACATTTAAGTTAAGGATGTCAATCGAGAAATCTACAAGGAGGTCCCACCAAGATATGAAGTTACATACGATTAATGGATAGCACAGTTCAATGAAGTTGCTAATCATTATTAAAGAAATCTATACCGAGGTTCCACCAGGAGAGGAATAAATCTATTCTCCAAGTAGTTCAGTTAAAGATTAGCACAGTTCAATGTACCTTAGGAAGTTATGTTTTAATTGTTCTCTTGAAACCAGTATTTGTTATTTATTACTTGTAATAATTCTTGTTATAAATAAACCAATCTGCTGAGTGGAAAAATACTCGAGCACATTCTAAACTTTCCTCTCACATTCTCACAAAGCGTTGTACTGTAATTCCATGAAATTTTGAAAAAATCCCTACAGTACAGACATTTTTTACAAGGTCCTTATACTTGTAAAAACATTTTAAATAGGACCCTATAAGTTCACTTAGGGCCTAACCAATTATTAAAATTTACAGTTAAATCATGGAAACCTCCAGCAGGAATGATGGTAAAAACATATATTAATGAAGCCTAAATGGTTGTCAAACCACATACATAACTATTTAAAGTTAGAGCGTAGATTAATAGGGAAAAAGAAAATTTGAAACTATAGGGACCTATTGACAAGTTAGTGAAACTATAGTAACCTGAAGATCAATTTATTTAACCAACAGCATTTAATATTATATTTGCTAAATTAATTGTTGTACCTTTAATGGATCCATATTTACCTAGCGCACATATTCTTGCCAAATTAGAATGTGAGTAGCTAAAACCAACAAATACCTAATAAACTCAAAATATACAATAATAACGGATGCCTACCTTACCTACTAACCAATTTAGGCCGCCAGCTTCCATCACAGAAACAATTGCTTTCTGCCGCCAATGTAACCTTGCTTCAGTAGACAAAACCTTTGAACTATTTGAAGAGATGATTGGAGCATCAGCATTTGAAGTAAAGCCTACAAGACTGCAGAATAACTCATCCTTTTTCTCTATATTTGAACCTAAATCAATGAAAATATAAATTATTGATACAACATATGTTAGAATTTGTTGGAGCAGCTTGATTTTCTCAACGGCGGAGTCAGACAAACTTGCATCAGCAGAAATGGCAAGACTTATGGTTTTAAGTTGGACCACAGCCCCTGTAACAAATTGAACACGACAAAAGTTCCATTATTTTTCCAATTAATTTTTCCAATTAAGGAACATTTTACAGAAAAACAAAAGGCAACTAATCAAAGTATTGAAGTTAAATTTTCAAAACAGAGACATATAATGCATATGAGGAGTGGAAAATAGGATTTGGAAATTAAATCCTATCAAAATTCAGGAATTGATTTCATATTTTGTTCATAAATAAAAGTCAACTAGCAGCACCTGTGATCGGCACATGGGCATGATAGAGAAAAGGGGAGTGAATTTATAATGGGGGAAACAGACTGTGGGCATAAACTACATACGTGATTTCCACATGCCAGTAGTTGGATGGTTTTTTATGATAATATATAGATTAGAACATAATGCATAGTAGTGTATCCTTTAAAGACTCAAACAAAAATAAAGAAATGACCATTTGTTAAGCTATAACAGTGGAACACATAGGCATAAAGCCTTTAGCAACATAAGAAAATACTATATATTTATAATAAACAATATACAGATAACAATAACATAAGTTAAAATTTATTACAGTTTTCACCAAGTAATCCACAGAAGTAATCAAAATCAGGAACAAAAAAAGAAAATCAATAGTCAAATGGCATTCATTATACCTTTCATTAAGGCTGTAAGTTTTCTAATTCCACCATAGAAACCAAAAACTCTGCAATTATATAATGAACGGGTGATAATTTTCAGTGCATCCAAAATAGAAAATCCTTCAGAAGTAATAAACAACTTTGCAGCAGCAGCAGACAAATCTGTTGATGACTGCCCCATGCTGGTGTTCACTGAAAGCAAGGGGAAACATGAATTACTGCAAATAACAAAGTCAGCAGTAACAATTTTGATACGAGTAACCAAAATTATCATTTCAAGATTTTCAAGTTAAACATCATTTTGTTTTCAGATAAAATGTCTGAGTATAACAAATGAAAATTTGAAAGGAAATAAACAGTTGAGACCAATATAGAAATTTCAATAAGTATACATACTCCCTTCTTGTGTCTGTTTCACATATAGACAGTCCCTAACTCTATTTTCAATTTCATCCATAAATTTATTTGAACTTCCTTGTAGTGGAAATCACTTAAGACTTAAGAGAAGAAGGTGAAGATAATGATGATGATGACGACAATGATTGACAACTTACAATCAGAAACTAGTGAGATTAACTGTGTGACCTCTTCAGCTAATACTCGAATGACATCAACAGGATGTCCAGCTGAGCAGCCAACAACTACATCATCAGCAGATGATAAACTCTCAACAGAAGCAGGCTCTAATAATATTCCAGAATTCACAGGTTCCCAATCCTTGAAGACAATTACAAATTGCTTGATGAAAACCTGAAGAAGCCTCTTTTTCTCCACCTACAACATTAAGATCACATGAAGCAAATTTACTAAATAGATAAACTACTTTTGTGATAGAAAGACATAAAGCAATGTAGTTAACATTATTCACAACAAATGCAAAAACACAGTAAGAGGTGTTAAATTATTTTTAATAATAGATTGGTAAACGATGCCTACAGACAACATATCTACATGAATTAATGAACATATGAATTTCTTAAAAAATAGTTCATATGAAGATCACCAAGCTTCAGAAAATGTAGTACTCATAAGTATAAATCCAATCATACCTTAGCCTCAGCTTTCTCATATCGCTCCCAGAGTGTATTTACAATTGCCTCATCGCCAGCATCACTGAAAAAAGTCAAAAATTAAACAAACTCAAGTGAAAGAAAAATGGATTGCAACTATTGACACAAATTATTCCCCCTGTTTTGTTCTCTTGTGAAATCTCCCTTTTAACTACTCAGTCTATCCCTCTTTTAATTTGTTATTATTTGGTCCAGAAATCTACAGCAAAATGTCCGCATCTTTGAGGGAATCATCTCGCCCAACATCTTGCTCTGAGAAAACCTTGTAGTGCTGTTTCTCTGGTGTTCTAAAAAGGTTGTCTGAAGGGACCAGCCAATGCGGGTCAAATGCAAAGGGATTGGGCAGCCTCAGTGCCTTATTAGTTCTTTTGTTTCATTTTGTTTTGCTCTGCTTTAAAGTCTTCTAGATCTTACCAATCTTATTGTTACCCAACCCCAATTGTACTTTCACGCCTTCAAACATCTTTATTTAGACCACCACCACCCATAAAAAATATCTTATGAAACATAAGACAATGTTTGGCAAGTCTACATAGTCATGGACCCATGAAATAAATAAAAAAATTAAAATAAATGTCACCATATCTTGAACTTAAGAAATATATATTTGCATAGAAGGTAATTCATCTGTCTTACCAGCTTACAAAATCTAACAACATTCACTTCTGCGATCTCCAGCAACAATGATGTTACACTAATCAAGTTCACCATACATATCAAAAATGTTGAAGGCTTATATATAAGCACCGTTTCGCTTTCAAATCTCTAACATAGAAGGCATTCACAAATAATAGCATGGATGGCATGTGTTAGGAGTCTCACATTGAAAAAAAAAACAAACTACTTCATGTGGTACTTAAGTCAATAAGTTTTCTCACTTAATGGACTAGTCTATCGAATCAGACTCTCCTCATGTGCATAAATTCTAACAATTGGTACTTTTAAAGAGAGTTGGGAAAGAGAAAGGAGAACCAATAAGTTGAAGTAAGGTGCAAGCCAAATATTGACAGATGGTTGATTGTCAAAATGGACAAGTGCCACCATCAAATCAATGTCAATACAAAGAAAATCATTGCAGAAATCATCTCCTAAAGGGGGTGGCATTGTTAAGAGTCTCGCATTGAATAGAATAAAATACTTGACGTAGTACTTAAGCCTTGAGGTTCTTCCACCTAATGAACTAATCTTTTGGATTGGGCTCTTCTTTTAGTACCAACAGCATGTCTCCAAGGTGTCTTCCAAACATATCATATACCATGACAGGATTCAAGAAAATCCAAAAGGCACAAGATAATCAAGGTAATATTATTCCATAAGAAAATAGTCACTACATGGAATTTTCCTTCTTTGGTAGAAATTCAACAAGATTATTACATTTATCATTTAGTCCATAAAGCAGTAACAATATAATAATCTTAATAAAGCAATATGTCTGTCCTAGTTGTTGGCTAGAGGAGAAAGGTTCCATAAGAATAATCACACATAATTTGACAACCATACAATCCCAAGCTCAAGAGGGATGACACCTGCAAGCCCACCACTGCTAATGACAATCTCTATAGTAAAATATGATATTAATAGCCGTGAAGAGTTTCTAGCATAATAATTTTTTTATGCACCAGAACACTCAATGAAACATTACATATATGATAAAACTACTTTCCTAAAACTCTACTCAATTCAGTTATAAATTATAGAAAAAGGCTAGCAGTAGCAGCCTTGAGAACTTGCCGAACACTCAGATTACACTTGATGATAACTTGTGCTTCTTCCACATACAGGTGAAGTGACATACTTCCCACACCAACATAACTCAAAAAATTATCAATACAAATTTAGAGCTTTATTATTTGATTCCATAACAAAAAACCCCTTGAAAAATGTATTGTTACCTAAAGCGAATCCTGGGCCCAGGAGGAGAACACTTTTGAGCTTGGGAACTTGAAGATTCGCCAGTATGCCCAGCAGAAGTTTTTCTGATAAGGTCAGCAACACCCTTAACGATATTCATCCTTCCTTACCAATATCAGCTCAGCGTTGAGACTTCCCGAACCAATTAACGGTTCCACCCATCACTCCCTGAAACCACCTTTCTAGCTCAAACAAACCAATCACCAGTAGTAAGATTACACAATCTAGTTGAGTGCTGCACAGTAATTACCGATGACAAAAAAAAAAAATAAAGAACAAGTGAAAATCACTTACTCAAAAAAAAAAAAAAAAAGAGCGTACTTGACAAAATCACCCTAAATTTCTCACTCTAACTTCAACCGTCCCTTCTCAGCTCACTGATCAGAGATAATTTCAATGAATTGAATTAGCTCCGTCAGGGATCATTCCACTCACTAATTAGCACCGGATTCTGAACATTTCAAAAATCTAAATAATTCAATGTAAAATACACACGCCATTCTCGAAACAGAAAAGACTCAATTCAACGTCGAAAAGAGAGAAAAAAAAAACAATAATCGAGGCGGAGTATATATACCTGAATAGTGAGGCAAAATCAATAATCAAGAGTTCTAGGGTTTGCCAATTGAGATCGGAAAAAACGATTGTGGGAGCTTAAATATAACCCCTCTATCTTTTCCTTTCAAAATATTGGTCGGAGCTACTTTATAGCGTCGGTAACGAAATTGTCGTCGTTGTAAGAAGAATATGATATGATACCATATGATGAATGCGTGAGAAAGAGGAAACACTAAAAAGCAAACCCCAAATACTCGTTTAATTTCGATGTTGCCCTTCTGGTTTTTTTCTTTTCGATGTTCTTTTCATTTCCATCGTTGTAAGAAGAATATACACAGAAATTAATATTCAACACCGACTTGCCTTAAGCGCTGCATTTACGCAATCATTTTCTTAATTTAATTTACAACTTTCATTACCATTGTCATTGGCTTAGAAGATAAAAACAGTAAAAAAATTAAGAAAGGATAAAAACGATACGAAATAAAATTAAATATTTATTTTTTAATATAGTAAAAGTAGGTATGAAATAAAAGTTATGTAATTTGATTACTTTAAAAGAAAAATTAGTAAGATAAATACGTTCAAAAATGAAAAAAAAATATTATCGATAATTCATCCGTGTAGTATCATAGAACTAAAAACTAAAATATATAATAAGAGGTATGAAAAAAGCCTATTAATTTTTAACATTTTTTCTCCATTTAATAATACAATATCATTTACGAATTAAATAAACATTTGAGACCTTTTCAATCACTATGTACACTATTATTTTTTTTTCTTTAAATCACATAAGTAGGATACGAAAAAAAAAACATTTTTTACACACTTTGACACTATGACACAAACAATTATTTTATCACTTCAAAATACATTTAGAGTAGTTGGCGAGACTGTGAAAATAGTTGGTGTAGGGTTTAGGATTAATACTTGATTCCAGAATATTGAAAGAGTTAATAGAATGAACGTTAAAAAACTGTATGCATTTAATAGGACTCACTAATTAGTGACAAATTAACATGTAATTTGAATTTGATTTTAGTTTCAACTAGAACAACTAGTAATTGAAATATATTATTCAAAATATATTCTAAGATAATATATATATATATATATATATATATATATATATATTTATATGTAATTTAAAATATTTATTATAAAATATGTTGTTTACATACAAGTTTTTAAAATAAATTAAAATTATATAAATTTATTATAGTATTTTGATTATCAAAAAGTTATGAAATTTTAAATCTTTTAAAAGTAAAAAGTGGAAATTTTTCCTAACCTCTTAAAAAGTGCCAAAATTCAATAAAAATAAATTTAATTATTTATATTATAATTCCTCATGGTTTGAAATGATTTCTTTTATATCATTATGTAGAGTTAGTATTAGAAATAAGCGGCGGCAAATATATCAAAAGAAAATTAATAATATTATAATAAATAAGAAAAAAAAGTTTAAAAAGTTGATATAATCAATAAGAAGATAATAGCATCCTGAAATGTTGATCAATCTATCATGGACAATTACTTTATTAAAATTATAAAAACATAATTTTGGTTTCACTCAAAGATTGACTTTTTCTTCAAAATGAGAAGATTTTTTTTCATGCTCAAATATTTGACTGCAGTAACCGATAATATGTTAAATCTCTTTACACATCTAGAAATGTGAAAGAAAATAAAAAAAAATTAAGATAAAAAAAATTATAATTAATTGGAAATAAAAGATTCAAAATCAACTTATTTTTTTTCTCCTCTACCCTTTCTTATATTTGAGACTTTTTTTCATAAATAATACTATTTTTTAAAATATTTCCCAAAATAACGCATCTAGAACATTATTTACACAAATAGCATTCTTTACTCGTTCACGTATTAAAATAATCGATTATTTTAGATTATGATCGATTATTTCGTGCAAGATCAACTCTCGCTCAAGTGAAGAAACCATTCACTTGAGCGAAGAGACATGTAACAAATGGGTAATCTCGGGTCAATTCTTGCTCAAGCGACGGGTACTTTCGCTTGAGCGAGAAGTGATTGAAATATGTGGTGACCCAAGTTGCATTATGTGGCTAACTGCATTGGACGTTTAGCATGTGGTCAATTCTCGCTCAAGCGATGGATTACTTCGCTCAAGCGAGAATTGATTGGGTAACTGCGTTGGACCGTGGTCAATTCTCGCTCAAGCGAGACATCCATCGTTTGAACGAAGAAATTTATAATTGATTATAATTTGAGCTAATTGATCATAATTTTAAAATAATCGAATATACAAAATTATGATCGATTATTTCTCTCTCGCTCAAGCGAAGAAATCCTTCGCTTGAGCGAGGAAACCTGTAACAAATGGGTAATCTCGGGTCAATTCTTGCTCAAGCGACGTGTACTTTCGCTTGAGCGAGAAGTGATTGAAATATGTGATGACCCAAGTGGTCAATTTTCGCTTGAGCGAGGAAACCTGCAACTATTTATAATGTTAAGTCACCCACCCAAGTCAGGATTCTCATGCCTTTCTGATGCACACAAGTAAGGAATCCAATGCTAAGTCACCCACCCAAGTTAGGATTCCAATCTTGGATTCCCTTCATTGAGTTAGACAAAAGTAGAAGAATCTAAGCACATTTAAAGAGATGTTGACCCACCCACTTTGCTTGGTTTTTGTGTGCGTCAGAAACCATGTGAGGGAGCATTGGATTCAAACCATTGGACTTCATTATAAATAGATCACTTTCATTCTTTGAAGTTCTCACATTGCATACTCCTAAATCTCTGAAGCTCTTTGCATTATTTCTTCTTTTTACCTTTAGTATTATTTTTGTTCCATACTCCTAAAATGGGTGTAGTGTCTACTATTGTCCATTATGATGGATTCATGAACCCATGTCCCATGGAGGGAGTTACCTTCAATACTGAGACTGCAAAACTTGTTCCTTTAAAGAGAGGAATTTCTCTACAAAGGTTGAAGAAGTTGATCCACAGGAAATTGGAGAAAGAACCCCACAAAAATGTAGCAACCATCCATTTTCGCTGCCCAACTAGACTCGGAGTTAGGATCAACAACTTCATTGTTGTTGAGTTGAAAGATGATAACGACGTGGAGGTCATGTTCGATGTTCATGATTCAAACTCAAGTCTATGTGGTATTGAAATTTTTGTTACATTTAAAACTTCTTCTTCTTCATACCCCAACACACACTCACCTGAAATCTCACCTTCACCCTACCAAGCTTTCCCAAACACTGACCCAGAAATACCCACAGATAATGACTACATCTCTTTTACCCAATTTCTAAGTGGGTCTTCCACCAACATCAACGAAGAACTACCCACACAAGAGAACGAAACTATTGGCCTCCTAATTGAAGTCGTTGATCCTTTTAGTGAGGATGAAGATGAAGATGAAATTCTCAGCCAACAACAAGATGATTTAGAGGACAAACAACCACGTATTCCTACACATGCACCAAACTTCATGGAACCATACAACCCACCACAACATTTTCTTAACTTCGAAAGTTACATTCAACAACAAGACCTAGAGAATGGTCATGTGTTGGACAAATAGTCTTTTGTAGATATGTTGTTGAATGTGTTGATAATCAATGCAATTAGAGATGTAGAGAAATATTGCGCACAAGAGAGCAATATTGGGAGATTATGAAGCTTGAAGGGAACCATACATGCGTTTCGCCATTAATCAGCCAAGATCACAACAAGTTGGGATATAAAATGATTTCACAAACAATTGGTCAAATAATTGATGTTGATTCGTCAACACCAATCTCCACAATCATAGCCCACATCCAATTAACAACGGGTTACACTATCACGTACAGGAAGGCCTGGTTGGCCAAACAAAAGGTAGTGGAGACCATCTACGGCAATTGGGAGGATTCGTATAAGAAGTTGTCTTGTTTGTTACAAGTCATACAACAATTTGTTCCCGGATTCATCTACAAACTGCAGTCACAACCAGCTTACCAAGGTGAGATCCTTCAACAAAATTCAAATATTTTTAAGCGTGTGTTTTGGACGTTTAGGCCATGCATAGATATCCATCCGCTTCCATTTCTCATGTATGCACTTCTAATGGATTCATGTCGGTCTGATATGAGGCATAATCCTTGTTGGGGTGTGACATATCTTTGGAGGTTTTTTAAGAAAAAAAACCAGGCATCACTTGTTTCACCTTCAACCACCGCAAACGCAATAAGGAGGATGTTGTTGCGACCATCTTGTGCTACTGCAACCAACAAGGTACCTCTATATTTTCCATACAAAAAAGTTCTGTCCACTTGAACAATGGGCTTGTAGTGACCAAATATATCTATGCATGGCCTAAACGTCCAATGTATGAAACTTAGGAGTTTTTCAATTAATAAAACTTCTTCTTTGCAGAGTGGGGATTACTTACAATGTAGTAACTCATTGACTCATTTGTTCTTACAATAAGGATAACTATATTGGCAAAAAAATCATAATAGGAATACTAGTTTGTTGCATGAATTGTTAATATCCTTCACTTTA